TACCCCTTATATTTTATATCTTAGACCAAAAGTAGTGAAACACATTGAATATGTATCTTAGGTTTCTTTTCAAAACTCTTGTTTAATATCAGAGTATTTTATGTATTATTAGGAATAATAACCCAAAGGACATGTATATTAATTACAGTTTTGTCTGTGATACTAATGATAACTTGATCTTGCAGCAGTACATATTATATCAAAATAAAGTTTTAACTGTGATACACTTTTATTTTCTTATTCACAAGCCCTTCAAAACTGATGTCCAATGAATTTAAGTACATTGTTCAAAGATCGGATTGATTTCCTTCGCTGGGAAAACAAAAACTGTGGACCAAATAAGATCTAACTTCCTTTCACATATCAAATACATTTTGAACTTACCAAGAAAGTTATGAAGCTCATGAGTAACGTAAGAGAGAATAACCATTTCCTTGCTTCATTGGTTTGCATTGACATTAGATGCATGAAGTGATAATTGTCAAAGTCGGGTAAATGCTCCACCTTGGGTGAAAAATGCAACTCCCTCCATACCAATTTATTTTAGATGCATGGCCAAATGAAACCAAAGACTGCAACAAAGGAGCAAAATGCAATTATGAAACGCAATGGTGAACATGAAATGGAAAACAGATTTGATCATTTTCTTATGTTACTAGTTCACATTGGACATAACCTACTTTGCCTGTACAATAAACATAACTTACATAAAGTGGCCTAGATTACGATATTAAAGGTGCTACTATAAATATTGGTTGAAAGAATCATTTTTCATTACCTTGCTTTCAAAACGACGCAAGTCGCCACCGGTAGGTTTTCGAAATATCACTAGTGACAGACAAAAAGATCTTTCTTTCGACTCTTGACTTACGAATTCTGCTCTGCTTCTGCTTTGGCCGCTGAACTGGTCGGTGTTTTTGTCTTAGTGTTTTCCATACTCGGTAATCTCAAACCAAAGCTAGCCTTCTACGTGGCACACCATCCGAACTGCAATACCAATATGCCAGCCGCGCTCCGCCACTGTTGCAGTGGTCGTAGTGGCCGGAGCAGAAGTGGCCGCTGACAGGTTACAACTGTTGGGTCGTTGGGTCTGTCGCCTTGTGAACCATGAACTCTTGATTGCAGTTTCAAGTACTCGTGCTGTGGTGACCACTGCTCATCTCTAGACTGTGCAGCAAGGAAGAAGGTGAGGTCACTGAATTTGTCTCCAATTGTTGGAGAACGTAAATAGCTCGCCTCGCCGGCTTCCTGATCCTAGACATGTGCAGAGGTTATGTAATTTATTACAATGAGGATAAATATTTCGTTGATATGGTTTTATTTTCGTGTCCTACCTAGTCCTAGCCCCTGGTTATGATTTTTTTTCTATGTTATGCTGTCAAACTTTTCTTCTCAACATGGGGCTGTTGACTTTTTGGCTGATAAATCTTGTAAGGTCATATGGAAATTTTGTGAATTTTGTTTTACAGGTACTAAAAACATGGAGGCAGAAAATTCAAAGCCCCTGGAAAATGGAACAGCTGAAAGGATCAATGAGTCTGAACCCCAAGAAGATGGCAAAGAGGAGTGGCTGGACGTTCTGGGCAGCGGCCAGATTAAGAAAAAGGTACCATCAATTAAAGTTCGGCTCGTCGATTTGCTGTGCGAACTGGAATGGCGATCCGGAATTGAGCTCTAACCCTGTCCTCTCACATTTGCAGGTTCTAGTTGAAGGAGAAAAGGATACAAGGCCACAGCGCTCAGATGTTTGTGAAGTCAAAATTGAAGGACGGTTACAAGATGGGACTGTGATAGAAAAATGTGACAATTTAGTCCTTTCTGCAATGGAAGGGGAGGTGAGGAGCTGTCTTCAGAAAATTCTGTTCATCCTCTCTGTTCTGCACACTCATTGTTGTAATGTTTGCAGGCCATCCAAGGTGTCGACATTGTTCTTACTTTGATGGACCTAGGAGAGCGCTGTCTTCTTGAAATTGGCCCAAGGTTTGCATTTGGATCAATTGGAAGGGCAGCAGAAAACTCTTGTAAGTTGGTGATGGGTACTTGTTATTTGTACCGATGAATTAGATGTTCTGCTGTGCCAGAAGTGAAATCATGGCTTGTTGTGCTCTTTCAGTTCCAGCGGTCCCAGGCGATGCAACTGTGTTTTATACTTTGGAACTTCTTAGTTCACGGCCAGAAGATGAGCTTGAATCACTTCCTCTGACAGAAAGAAGAAAAATTGGGCAAGTGAAATTTTTTTTTCAGAGTTGCTAGTTAAAATTGTCATTTTGCTATGATGATCATTTTTCTCTCCAGAAACCGAAAAAGAGAAAGGGGGAATTGGTGGTATGGGAGAGGAGAAAATACCCTTGCCATTCAATGTTACCGGCGTGCGCTGGACTACCTGGATGAAGCTGTTGGTGGGATCCAAGTAGAGCCAGACAATGCTGTTGATGATCCTGTAAGTAAGATTAAAATTGCAACCATGTAGGGGTGTGTTCAGATCCTGTTTGTCCAAGTATGACAATAAGGTTTAAGCCACACCCTAAATAAAATCTTGTTCTTCTGCTGACTAAGTATCAGATTCCTTAATCAGTCTACACTAGTGACAAGAACAAACAAATCGTTCAGCAAAAGCCCTAAGCTACGGGGGATGAAGAAATTTGCACTAACACAATTATTTTTTTTTCCCAGGATAAAGAAGAGAAAGATAATTTGCTACTTCATATCTTGGAGGATCGCCTCAAAGTTTACAACAATCTAGCAGCAGCACAGCTGAAAATTGGTTCTTTTGATGCTGCTCTCATGTCAGTGGAAAATGTCTTGCGCTGCCAGCCGAACAATGTTAAGGCTCTATTTAGGAAAGCAAAGGTTTGTATACGAAAAGTTGCATGTGACTAGAGTATCTGTTCACTCAGGTTTCTCAATTTTGTTTTATTTGTGTATTTCCAGGTTCTCTCAGAGAAAGGAGAAAACCAAGCTGCATCTGAAGTTCTTGAAAGGATTACTATTTTAGATCCTGAAAATAAGACTGTTTTTGTAGAGCTAAAGAAAGAACGGATGAGGGCCAAAGAACGCACACAGGGGGAGAAGAATTTGTACCAAAAAATGATGGGAACCAAATCATCTCAGTCACCTTCCAAACAGAAGAAAGTAGACCGTGGTTCCCGCTCAAAGGTAAGGCTTCTCCTATAATATCATGCTTCCATTTTTTCTTTATGTGTTAAAGAAGTTCAGTTTCTTCTGTGCTTTTAATTGGTTTTCTTCGCTGACTGGTTTCCAGCTTCCATGGGGTGTGGTGGCAGGGAGCATGGCTGCTGTGGTTGCAGGAATGGTCGCTTACCGCCTCAAGTTCATATGAGGTTACTTGTGATATTGGAAGCTTGCCATTTTGAAGAATGGTCTCATCATCTCACTTTCTAGCAAATCATTGTTAGTTATTTATACACATGTTTTGATAAGTTTCCTGAAATTTTCTACTGGTTCAGGGGGCTTTTGCTCTCTTACAGTATTGTAGCAGTACCAAATTTAATGTTTCATTTACTGATGGCTCATGTGATAGACTCTTTGACCTACATTTCTGTTGAATTGCAGTGATTTGTCAGTCAATTTTACTATATGCCATTTTCAGATGCAAATTTTCTCAGGTTTTACCTTATTTTTTTTTGTAAATACTATTTATTTTTACCTCAATCATATGACTGATAGTGTTAACATTCCTTTTTTCAAGGTCAATCTACACTTCACATTAATACAGTAATCCTGCCAAAGTTTAATCTTTTTATGCCTGAAGTCAAATGTTCTTCTTTCTGTACCATATCAAATTGTTTTATGAGTGGAGTTTTTCTTACCTTTTGTTGTTAGATTACTAAAGCTTTTGCACATGAATCAGCCATACCACTTGCATCAAAATAATCAGTTTATAGCAACACTCATTTTTCATTGTTTGTTGAAGCTTTCTTTAAATATTGCTGAACTTTTTGAATAATTTTAGCTGTACATTTATGAAATTGTATTTTAAAACCTTAGTCTAAGAGATGTGCCTTTAGTAATTTATGTTATCTTCTCATTTGAAGCTCATCTATTCCAAATATTCAGGTGTCCAAAGTATAGTTTACTGGGTAAACTTTCCTTTTAAGAATGATTGCATCATTTGCATGAAGTCCTGATAAACTTTTGATGGTTCACCTTTCTCTCTTCATGTTCATGTGGTGGGGTGTGTGCTTATACTGCTCCAAATTTTACGCTGATTTTATTTTTTCATGTAGGATAGTTCTGAAGATGATGGTGAAGAGACAGAGGAGACCACTTCAGGCGGATCAAGATGTTCTTTAATGTAAATTTATTGCTACTGGAGTGCAATCCATTCAAAGATAGATATTGGTGAAGGGTGGGCTGAACTTTATTTAAGTGTTCAGATTTTATAGCTTTGTTTAACTTCAAAACATTCACTATTATTGTAATCTGTTACTCCCATGCATTTAAAAAAAAATCAAAAGTTGTGTATTGGCTGTATATATATAGTATATATATTTAACATATTCTTGTGAATGAACAAATACATATATTGAGACCACTCATTGTTAAAATTGTAGAGTTCAAATTATTTGTCCCTCATCAAAATGATCAATTAGTCATAACAGTCAATAAAATAACTTAATTACATAATACGTACAACAAAGCATTGTTTTATCTGACATATTCTTCACTTTCATCATTTTCAGTATCTTCGTAGTAGAAAATGTTATTACTCCGATCTTGTAAGTTCTTTTTACGAGTACTACTGTTTAGGGTTGACTTTTGATACAGTGTAATAAACTTTCGCAGCTCTTTCCTTTTACGGATTTGATCATCAGGTGACAGAGCTTTGGATCCCATGTCAGGTTGAACGAGGTTGTTGAACTCTTCAGGTGTAGGTGGTTCTGGTACTTGTAGTGGATATGAGTGCTTTTTAGCTTCCTTTATCTGAAATAAAAGCGCCATAATCCATGTCAAGACTTCAGCAGTTAACTTCAAAATTTTGTTAACAACACAAAATTCCCAAATTAATTAACTTACTCTCCTGTAAATTTTATCATGTGGCAAGCCCAAAGCATCCATGCGCATTAAGGGAGCTACTGGTTCCTGTGAATTTGTTTTAGTCCAATTAGTTATTTTTAACGCACATCAGAATTTCATGGGTGAACAAAGTGACATTCAACACTTTATCTTCACTTACAATTTCTGCATCTGTAGATTCTAATGAAAGATTGGCACTCTTGGCATTCTTTTTCATTGCTTCCATCTCCAAGGAAATTTTATGCAATACTTGCATTGTGTCATTCATATTTACAGCTGATAAATCTTAAAATTCAGAAAAGTGTGAATACATTAAAATACCTATCAAAACAATAAATGAAGGAAAATTACACAGGAATGAAGAACTATACCTCTTTTGAAAATTATATGTGGCACGTTACCCAGCATGGACCCATACATGAGCTGATTCCGAACTTTACTAGAAATGCTAGAAAGAATGTCTTCGATCTGCAGGGGGTCTTCATTTTCACTAGCAGTCCAAAATACCTCAACGAATCCAGTATTCTTCACTGCTACCTGTTATATGAAAGAGATAAAGAAAGTCATAAAGGGGCAAGGGCGCAAGCCCATGAAAACAAACTAAAAAATCATACGTGAGTCAGTTGAATTCCTTTGCCCTCTAGTTCTCTAAAGCCTCCAAAGGCCAAAATCTGTGACACATTTTGCATGTACAAATTACTGAGGACAGCTGATCTTTTCTTATCCAACAGTTTGAAAGTGCTTTTTGCTTGAGGAGCATCTTGAATTTTTCTGTAAACAGCAAGGCAGACATGAATGTTAGAAATGAATCAAACAGAAGTGCCTTGCTATATTTTAAGAGCTACACATTGCTGCAATATAAATGGATTCAATAAACAAACATAAAATAGTGGCGGCTAATGTTGAAAAGGGGAAATAAACTAACTAACCTCTCCAACTTCTCAGACAACAATCTCTTCAAAAACCTCCCTTGTGTATCCAAGTCTCTCTGAACGCTCGAAATGGAAAACCGTCTTGAACAATTGACAACAACGCGCAGGCCTTCAACGGCGATCAATGCCATCTTCAAGCAAAATCACACAGGCAGAAAATCTGCCTGCAGCAGAAGACACAACCTCAAACTCCAAACAACATGTTTTTCATCCTATTCGCAGGAGGAGTCATGGTGCGTGCAGTCGCTGTACAGTTATACGCAGTGGGGAGGGCGAGGGGTGCCCAATGGGTTGCCTACCTGCCGGCGCCGTCGTTCTTCAGAGTCAGCGGCAGCGGACTGATTCCGGCGAGAGGTTTCGTCGCTCTGTCTCTGTTGCAGAGCCAGCCGATTCGAATGCAGACTGCAGACTACCTAGACTCTGCATCGCGAGCAAGAATTGTAGCTGCCTGGTTGGCAACACGGGACTTCCCTTGTCAGTTCCACGTGCAATGGGAAACAAGTCAGCCTGACTCCAAAAGGATTCCTAAGGATTCCAAAGGATCGCTTTCTCGCACCCAGAAGTCGTCAAAGTCAAACCTCGGCAAACAGCCTTGGCTCGCCTCGGCCGGCCGTTGAGGCTGAGGCCCGCCGCCTGCACTGTTGTCCTCAACGAGCCTAAACACCTCGACTTGCGCATCGTGGAGTAATGAGAGGGAATATCAAGCGAGGTGCGGGATTGAGGTATTCGGTAACTTTCTCCGCGCGGGGCGGGGCGGGGCGGGGCGCGGCGGCGTGGATCCGGAGACTGGGAGCCAAAGCCACGTACGGGTCGGGGCGGGGCGGGGCGGGGCGGCTGTTGCGGCAGTCTTCTCCCACGATAGCGGCTTCTGATCGAACCGTCGGCAGCCCTGACTGTGCTGGGCGGTGCTGGGTGGGGCATACCTTACAAGGGGGCCGGACAGGTGCATTATTTGCGGTCAGTGACCCCTTCCCTCATCCCAGCGAGGCGGAGGGCTCGTTTAACGCTAAGCCACGGCCTCAGACGACGGTATCAACGAGTCGTCATTCGAACGAGGAATCCACCTTCGGCACTCCTCGAGTCCTTTGGAGGAACTCCCCTAAAAGTGTATCGCCAGCACTGACTTCTGTTTCCGTCTCTCTCGCGCCCTCAGACGGAAGAGCGACGACACGACTCTCCGGAACCGCTCGGCGGGACGCGCGGGACACGCTCGTTCGCCCGGTCATTTTGGGTCGCTTTATTGGGGCGGGTGCGTTCGTGCTCCACACTCTCCCCACAATGGCCTGCCGGCCGCGCGACGGGTTGCGTCACTTGGTGTTGTTTTCACCCGTATTATACCGGTCCGGACGCACACGACGAAGTCGACGAACGGGCCGCCAATGTAATTGGCGTCGGCGCGGGAAGTTGGAATCACTGGGCGCGTCGCACAGTGGGCCAGAAGACCGGCGCAGGCGGACAAAACTCTAGACGCGTTTTGAGCTGAGTCGAACCGAGCGTGTGACCCCACCAATGGATTGCTCTCCGAACGAGGAGTCCATGAAAAAATAGCGCGTTGCTGCAGCAGCACGCTGGGTTCGGGAAATCCAAGTGCATCGGCAGTGAAAGCAACAAAAATAAGAAGTGGTAGTGTTTGAACCCCGGACAACTCGTGACGACGTGTCGAATACTCATGATTGATGGGGCGTTAAACAGCCGTGGGACCGGGCCGGCTGTCTATAGGGCCCGAAGAAAAAAAGAAGAAGAGAAAAACAAAGACAAGAGTTTCTAGTCATTAGCTTGCTGCGAGGGTCAGGCCGCGGGCTGTGCATGCTGCCAAGTGCAAAGGTCAGAACGGGAGCAAGAACACGAAAAAACAACAACGAAAAACCTTCAAAACCGACTGCTGCCGGTGATTGAACCCGGGCATGTGTGCCTGCTAGCCTTACTTCGCCCAATTAGCGAATCGCACACTCAGGGCTGCCAACCTTAAGTCTCGAAATTAGTGTGGCAGCCCTGGCGCGCTGTGACGTGTGGAAGCGAGGTGTGCCCGTCGGTGGCGTGGTTGGCGCATTCCCGGAGCCCGAGGGGGAAGAGGGGGGGGGGTCGCTTCCGTCGCCGGAAAGAGAAAATGAAATGATCAGATCGCGTGGACTGGCTGTCTCTGTCTCACCCGTGGCGAACGCCGCGTCGAGGATTCGATTCGATTTTAGCGATGCAGCCCAGAGACTAGCAGCGCGCCAGGTGCTAGTGTGGTGTCTGTCTGTCCGTCCGCCCCTGGGTTTGGGTGCCTGTCTGCCTGCCTGCCTGCCTGCCTGCCTGCCTGCCTGCCGGTCCAGGCGAGCAGTGCGGTACCGCGCCGGGCGCGCACCTCTGGCACCTTCCCCTCGTTCGCCTCGGTTCGACTCCCGCCATCAGCGAGAGTGTCGGATTGCATTGGAAAGTGTCATGGCGCGACGCGTCGCACACTCGCAGAGGTGACAACACGGACCGGCAATGGCACAGCGGATTTGCCAGAAGACCGGTGGAGGCGGCCGAAACTCTAGACGCGTTTCGAGATCCAGAGTCGCTGAATGGCACTCGAACCGAACGTGTGACCCCGCCAATGGATTCCTCGTTGCCTGACCGAAATTGATTGGAGGCGCTGTTCAAACGCGGAGGCGGAAACCACTCTGCCGCTGTGACTCAAGCACACGCGAACAGTGTGGGCCTTTTTGCAAATTATTTAAAGTTTTTTTTGGACCGGAGAACACCTGCTGCCCGGTGAACCTGTCGGCGGGGCGTCGCGACGCAACGGGACGCAAGGCCAAGAGGATGTGGACCGAATTGGAGCAGATTACTAAAGGTGTGTGCGTATGTGTCCGTGTGTGTGTGTGTCCTGGGGAGGGCAGGGGGGGCTTTGGGGTGGGGGGTCTTTCCCCGCGACGCTGTGCGAAAGAGACAGTGCATAGGCCGCGCAGGGAGACAGAGAGAGATGTGTTTACATTGGCATTCACTTTCACTCTCGTCTCCTGCTGGACCCAAGTCAGCTGCGTAGCTGCCACACTGCCACGCTTCCGGCGCGCTCACACACACACACACGCACACACACACACACACTCGCGCACGCACGCATATTTGCCCGCGGTGGCACCGTGGTGGCACGCGACAGCAAATGAATATAGCATATTTGTCTCTGGATGACAACATGCCTGCGTGGCGCGGCGTGCGGCGGTGGCAGGGCGCCAGGCGCTACGAGTGTACGAGTCCGCGCCACCGTAAGTGTCGAACTGAAAATATTGAGGCGCGGCGGGAACAGATTTAAATACCTCTGTTTATGGCGTTTCGTAAAGTGATCTGCCTGTCCACGATTTTTCCAATCCCTGCCGCCCAAAACAAATAAAATTTTTGTTTGAGAATTTTAATACTAAGTGCATGTCACCGTCGCGTGTAAAATCATTCGAGGTACAAAAAAAGGTCACAAATGGTGCGCAAAAATGTCTGTCCGTCCGTCCGCCGTCGCCTCAGTCGCGCTTCCGTGCGTCCAAGTCCCCGCGACGTATTGGCGCGCAGACCCGTCCCGGATGCAGTGGACCAGCAGTGGACCGATTCCGAGAGTCGTCGCTCCGTCTCTCTCGCACCTGTACGGGGCGCCCCGTGAGTGCGAGGGAGACACACCGCTATGCAGCTGCGGTGCGGCGAGTGCGTCACCTCTCTCCCACCTCACAATGAATGGGGTGACTCAACAGGGCAATGCACTATTAGCGGCCGGAAGGAGAGGAGGAGTCCTTAAGAGGGATTCATGAAACTATTTCCAGTGTGCTCGTCATGAGCCTCGCACGCTTTAAATACCCGTTAAAGTAGACTTCTTTGCGATTTCCTTCCTTTTCCCTTTAACTCTCCGAGCTCTCCGAATTCCCCCCCCCCCCCTCTCTATTCCCGTCTCTCTCCCCGTCTCCCCCTCTCCACTGACTCTAGCTTCCCTTCGTGCACTCCACATTACAAGCACGTTTAGCATTTTTCCCCCCGAGCATGCATGTCTCAGTTTTACGAGGCGCCATCAGTGGGAGAAGAAATGACCCCGTCGGTGCCGTCGGTACCCCACGCGTCGGGGCGCCTCATAAAGGATGGGCATTAAAAGTCACTCGTGCGCGGGGTAGCGTCGCCCGAGGTCAGTTTCCTCCTCCGCGGGGTAATTCATTAAGTGGGTGCTGTACTTACGTCAGGCACGGGACGGCAAATGGATGCACCAATGCAACATTTAACAAATGAATGAACCGACGAATGAATCACTGGTAAAACTAAGCCGGAGCATAGAGAATGAATGAATGAATGAATGAATGAATGAATGATTGAATGAATGAATGAATGAATGAATGAATGAATGAATGAATGAATGAATGAATGAATGAATGAATGAATGGTGGCGTTTTTGAATGAATGCGTCTGTGAACGATTTTCTGAACGAATTAGCGTTTTAATCGGCGGCTGACTGGCTAGGTTGTGCAACGCCTCGTCAATACCGGAACTGCTTCCGACGTTGCACGGCTTGGTGCCACGCCCTTCTTTCCGGTTCTCCGTTTCCAAATTAAAAAAGGCGCCCAAATGGCCGCATTGATTTCGCGTCGGGATGACTTCACACAATGTGAGCGGCCGGAGTGCTTTATTGACTTTCGCCTAGTTAGCCGGGCCGGCGGTGCCTCTGGCCGACCTGCGGCTCGCACAGTGGGCCAGAAGACCGGTGGAGGCGGCCAAAACTACAGACGCGTTTTGAGCTCCAGAGTCGCTAAATGGGACTCGAACCGGACGTGTGACCCCACCTATGGATTCCACGTTCGGAGAGCAATCCATTGGTGGGGTCACACGTTCGGTTCGAGCCCTGCTTAGCGACTCTGGTGCTCAAAACGCGTCGAGAGTTTTGGCCGCCTCCACCGGTCTTCCGGCCCACTGTGGCCCGACAGTGGCCGGCAGCGGGCCGCGAGGGGCGGGGCCGCGAGGGGAAAGGGGGGGGGGGGGACGCACTTTGGCGCCGTGGGTGGCAGCAGGCCATTCCGAACAGTGCTTTCATCGCCCCGTCTCTCTCACTCCAGAGAGCGCCCAACAGTGTGCCAGCTTCCGTCCTTATGTCACGCTGGATACAACAACAACTACAATCAGAGAGTGACGGCCTCGGTCAGCACACCGTGAAAGAAATTCAAGGCTGCTGACGCCTTAGGCAAAGGGATGAAACTTGAGGGAGCACGGCCTAGTTACGATGTGGGAATTC